GAAACGAACACTAAGCTAACCTTGCAGAGAACTAGCGCTACAGATCGCAAGGGTTAAAGAGCGCTTCAGGTGCCAAGAACCACCTGTTTCCGGGAAATGGGCATTGCTGCCATCGGAAAACGCTTCTCTAGGGATGTGCCTACTAACGACCTTGCTAAACAGAAGCTGGCGCTTGGAACTTAGCAAACTCCGGCACCTAGTGGATAGCCGGGGTATTGCCAAACAAATATTCGTTCAGGCGCCATAAACGGTGCTGCTGGGGAGAAACAGCGTGCTCTTAGGTGCGGAGCTTCCACACCTAAACGTCCTGTTTGGAGGAATGAACCGAGTCTGTTTAAATGTGTGGTGACATTTTAATGTGTTTAATCTGTTTAATCCGTTTAATGTGTTTTAACCTGTTTTAATGTGTGGTGACAGAAAAGCCCCGGCTAACGGTATTACCGAAGTACTAGGGCCCATGGCAGCTGGGTGCAATCACCGTTCTGCACCATAAAACCTGGTTCAGGAAGTTCCTACGAGATTTAGCGGTACTAGGACCGAGAAGGTGACAGCACAGATAACTTACAGGCCACAGGAACGGGAAACTTTACGTTGGGCGCTAAGAACGATGCAGCAACTGAGAAAACGCCAAGTGGGCGCTGGCGGCAAAAGCTGTAGAAATCTGGGTACCAGCGAAAGCAGGGCTTACTGGTAGCAAACCAGAACTCGGCCAGGACTAAGAAACTTGAGGCAGGGCTAACTCCAGGTTTGTTACAATGAGAAATCTGAGAGTACCGGAGACCTGGAGTTGCTGAAAAATGAGCCACAGGATAACTCTGACTTTCTGTGTTGAAACAGTGACTTCCTACGACCTAGAAATCGCAGCCAGGGCTAGACTGGTGTTTGTCTTAAGTTGGGACTTGCTTGGGCTGAGAAATCACATTATGGCTATTCCACGACTTGAACAGCGGGTGGAAATCCCAGGCACCGCGAAATCGAAACTTGCTAGGACCAAGAAGCCAACGACGCCCGAAACCGCGGAGTCTTGCTACAAGGACGCCGGCGCCGCCGCCCCAGGACTGGGATCCGGAGGCCGAGCCGGAGCCCTTGCGGCTGCGCTGGGAAGAGATGGCGCCCGGGCAGCTCCCCTGTCACCCGCTCCGAGGAGCGGCGGGCTCCTCCAGCCCAGGGCCGCTGCCGCCGGGGAATGCCAGGCTCGGCGCAACTGGGGAAGCTGCGACTCCGAATCCCTCAGATCGGCGACCTGAGCGCTGCGGCCACGCAGGAAATGCAGACGCCGAGCTACGAGCTGTGCCGAGACCAAGAGACCCCGGTTCGACAAAATGGCGGTGCCGGGAGCCTGCGAGTGACACACTAGCGGTGGGGTTGTCAAGGAGAGCATTCGTTATAGTTGAACCAAAGACGCAGGGTTCACCAAGAAACCGCTGACTCGGAAAAAAAGACGTTCGGCCACCTAGAAACTCCGTGCGACAAGTGCTGTGACAGAAAAACCGCCGACTCCGCGCTGTTGGCGAAACGGGAGCCGGGTACTGCGACTGTGACACCCGGACTAGAGGCCCTCGGATGGAGAATGTGGCGCACAGAACGAGCAGGAAAACATTTTGTTCAGCTCAACTAGCGCCGCTGCAACCGGAAACCCGTCGGACCAGTGCTGCCAATGAAGTGTGTGAGAGAAACCGGTGATCGGTGGAGGAGCTGCGTGGGGCGCTGGGCAGTGCGCGTGTGTGAATCTGGCGGCGCTAGGACCCGGCAAGCGTGGGCTCGAGGCGAACGCCAACATTGCTGCCTAAGACAAAAGCGCGCTCTTTTCGACCTTGCTGCCAGCGATCACTCCCAGGCTCTGAGAAACTAGCCACAAACCCTCGGTTCAGGGAAAGGAACGGGGCTGCGACGCATCGATTGGTCGCTGGGTGCAACTTTCTCTGGTGGCCTAGTGACTAGAAAATAAAAACAAAAACGAAATCAAAAACTGCTACTGGCATTACTCCCACTCTCCCTTCTCAAGTTAGTGCCTTCAGGTTTAAGAAAACCTGTATTTTTCTTGGCTGAACCTTGATTCTTAATTATCCAGAGCCCCAGCGACGGACCCAGCATGATTCGCAGAGGGAAAGGAGCTGGAATAAGGACCCGGAATGAGGCAGATGTGGCTTCTCCGGGAAGAACGTAAAAGCCCTGCGGATCGCAAACAGCTTTACACTGCAGGAAGCTGCTCTTCTAATGGCTGTGGCTGGTCCTTCCACACCACACCCCTGTCCCAGGCTTTTGTCCTTGTTCAGAGCCCTCAGGGATCTTAGGGAGCGGCCGACAAGCACATCTCTTCGGATCTTGGAAGCTCTAGGTTCGAGATCTCCGTGAAGAATGAAAGGCACAGTGCCACTCGACCCTGGCCTCAGGCCTGCCCCGCCAGTCTAGTCCCTCCCCTGCGGGATGCAACTCAGTGGGAATCACTCCTTATTCTGATAGTTCACTCTATCAAATACCCTTGATATTTGGGGATAGTAGTTCAAAACAACGGGGGAGAAAAATGGGCTGCAAGACTCTGCTTTGGACGTGGAACTGACAGGAGACATCCATCTCCTCTCTAAGCCCAGGAAAAGCTCAAGTTGTGGTTCTCCGTCTCTAGCATCAGGATTTTTGAAATGCATCATTTATTTATTTTCTTTCTTCCCGGAAATGCAATGCAGGTGAATTGTAAGTGCTTGAATATCCTCCCTCCCCTCCTCACTTTTCAATCAGACTGAGACCTACATCCTTTCTGATAAAAATATGGTACTGCCACTGTCCAGTTAGAAAATGTCCTTTCCCACAAGCATTTATATTTCAAAAAAGCAAAAAAACAAAAAAACCTGCACTATGTGAGTTGAGCCCCCTCAAAGAGACCTACAGACCCTACCATTAGTATCTCTGTTCACACTCATCATTTCCCATTTTCACCACTGCTGCTCCTATGCAAACCAGTACTGTCCTTTTCTGGGGGGTTTTAGGCAGAGGCCATGCCAGAAGGCAGAGAATGCCCTGCCAGGTGAGGAAATCCACTTTGGCTTTGTATTACTCACCCTTTCTCAAGGGATTTGCCTCAATTTCTCCATCCCATCATACCTCTTCTTCAGCTAGCCAAAACCTTCCCTGTTGTTTGAGGCCCATCCACTTGCCTCCTGGTCCTGTGGGTGGGAGAATAAAGGAAAACTGCACTGCTCCCACCCAAAAAGTTCCAGCCACTTTACCAAATAGAAGAGCAGTCTGGAGCCACTGCAAAGCAAAACAACTATCACCTCTCTTCTCTTCCCATTTTTACCCCAGCTTCCCATCTCAGCAAAAAGCTGGGATTAGCAACCCCTAGACAGAAGGGGTAATCTGTTTTGATGGGAGTCCAGAGGAGGCTGCAGGCTGCTCCCCTACAGACTGACATCAAGATAGTTCCAGAATTCAGCTTCTAATTTCAGTGTGGTTGGAGGCGGGGTGGATTCCAGGGAGGTCAGAAAGAGGTAAAGTACAGGGTTATGCTCCTTGGGAGAAGGTCATAGGAACTTTGCAGTATGACAATGGCTAGAGATTGGGTAGACTTGGAGCAGGCTGGCAATGGCAGTTTTGTGTGGGTGGGAGGTACTAGGATTCAAACTTGAGGGCAAATTGTGGAGCCCATATGACATATGATGTAGAGCCTTTCCTATTTCCCTTCCCGGTGTGTCATCCAAAACAAATACACAATAAAGAATTCAGAAAGACTGATATTTGTGTTGTATTTCATTAAGAAAAATCTAATCAAATCAAGATAACCATAATGATAAATCTTGTTAGAACGTTGTTAAAGAAATGCAAGTGACACAAAACAGAAAAAGAGGGGGTAGGCGGTGGGAGGGACCAAAGAAGGGAAAAGTCTCCAACACTCAGGCCGTGCGCAGGTGAATCTTCTGGCCAGTTGTTATGTTGGAGGAAGCTGTGCAACTAATGAATGAGGAGGCAAGAATCCACATTATTACTTTCCAGATACAGAGAAACTCTAGGTTTTAACAATCTGCTTCTTTGTCAGGTATTGACTCTTGATTTTAGGCTCAGAAAAAAATTTAACACTTAAAACCAGTAAGTCTAGTAGAGTAGGTAAAAACAAAGACCATGAGGGAGGCTAGACAGAAAGTAAAAGGCAAAAATGCCCCAGGGAAAGTTGCCTGAAATTAGAAAGTGAAGAATTTTGCTTGGTGCCAAAGCAGAACTCTATTAGGTCACTAGGTTCACCTATGAGAAAAAAATGAACCATTTACTGTTGGTCTCTGGGATTGAAGAGTCCCCCTTCTCCCTTCCTGCCTATTCTCCATTTTACATTCACTGTGTCGCTGAAAGTTTTCTTGTTTGTTGTTGTTGTTGTTTTCGTAGGTCTGTGACTACCACACCAATGCACCTCCACAGGTGTTCTCTTTCCTGGTTACTTCCGGACTTTCTTCTTCCTGGTTCCATTTGCTTCTGGTAATTTAGGGCTGTATTGACTGACAGGTTCCAAGAGCTCCTGAAAAAGTCTTGACTGACAATTAAATGTCTGTGTCTTTGTGTGTGTGTGTGTGTGTGTTAAAAGATTTTATTAAACTAATTCAATTTGTTAGGGAAACAGTAAGACAATACAACTGGTTAAGAGGAGCATTGAAAGTGCACATGTATATAGGCCATTGGGAATGAGGAAATAAATTTGCTAAATTGATGCAATAGCCAGGGCCTGTCATCCACAGACAATCACTCCACCACACACATACATGCCTTCCTATGGTCTGTCTGCAACTTCCAGGATTGAAGATCTTCTCAAGGACATCAAAGGGCAGAGGCCACTGGGGAGGGCTGAACCACAATGGAGCAGCACTCCTTCACTCCCGATTTCCATGGCTACCACCATTTTTCTCTGGCAAATCACAGACAAATTTTAAAGACTGTGTAAATTGATAAAAGAAATTAATCACAGAAGTTCAATGTCTGATAAATTATTCCAAAAGTGTTCCCAGGGCACTCAGACTCACCAAGCATACTTTCTGAAATCAACTTCTATTTCTATCCAAAAAGTGTAGGCCATCAGTGTTCTTTAAGGAGGCAAATGTTTGCTCTGAGGTAGAAAGCATTCTCCAATGTAGATAAGGATGTAGATACCAGGTAAATGCTACAGTTGTGTTCATACTAACAATAAACTATGGATGATGTGGCTCAGAGTTAGTCAATGAGGAAAGATCCAGAGACATTCTGAGGTCACAAAAAGAATTTAAATGTTAGCTAACAAGGAGAAGCACTTCTTAGTGCTCATCAAAAGCAGGGCTTTCCCACTCAGACTGGAAGCCAGGCAGAACTACCATCTCGCTTTATCAGCTGTCACTGTATGCTGACATCAACACTGAGGAGAGTGATGCAGATGACAGATATATGTACATACATATGAATATATAAAGCATATACTTATATGCATACACAGTTTACATTTCCCAGTGTTCAGGAAAACTAGAATAAAAGAGAAATGATGTTCCATTTTTGTCTTTGAAAAGTATGTATTTCACATATATCTACATACATACACATGTAATTTCCTACATGCATATTAACTTACTGATATACATCTGCATATATAGAGGTGCATGTGTAGATGTATACATGTACATTCACTTTATCGCATAGTCCGTCAGCCTGATTTTTGAGATGGTAATTCAAGTTTCATCTTTGTTCTGGGTTTTGTTTCTGTCTCTACCGTGTTTCTTTCAACTGTCAAGTCACGTTTTATCAATACGCTAGAGTAGGGCAAGCCAACGCAGGATGGAAACACCAATCTCAGGAGGCTAAAATCACTGTGCACGCTGGGGTTTGAGAGTTGCTGATTTCCTTTTCTTTTCCCCAGCAGTGTGGACCATGAGAGTGGGCTGGGGGGTGGCAAAGTGAGGCCCTCTCTTTCAGTCATAGAGAGGCAAACCAAACAGCTCGGGCTGGAAGTCTTGCAGGGAATTCAGCACCACAGTGGCCTTTGTCGTCAGGTCTCGGCTCAAGTTTCCATCTGGAACCATGACCACCTGCATCCCAGCTGCCAGGGCCGCCTCCACCCCATTGGGAGCATCTTCAAAGACAAGGCACTTCTCCATAGGAAGAGGGGGAGAGAACCTCTTGGCACAAGCTAGGAAGATGTCAGGGTCTGGCTTGCCATGCTGCACTTCAGGGTCGCCTCCCAGCACGATGTGAGAAAACAAGCTGAAGAACTCCTTGTGCTGGCTTGTCTTCATCTCAAACGATGCAGACCCTGAGCTGGTGGCCAGGGCAAAGGGGATGCCGTGTTTCCACAGGTGGATGATGAGTTTCTCGGCCCCTGGCATGAGCGCAGCCATGGGGAACACTTCCTTTAACTTCGTTTGGCTTTCTTCCACTAGCTCCTCTTTGGACATCGGGAGCTGCAAGACGTCTATTATAATCTGTGCCGCCTCTAATGCCTTCTTACCCATAACCAGCTGTATTTCTTGTCATAGCGATCACATATTTCTTGAAACACCACTGAATAGAGCCATTCAGTATCCAAAAGAAGTCCGTCCATGTCAAAGATGAGGTGGGTGACTGGCTGTGGCAGGGGTGCGGGCGGGGGAGTCGCCATGGTACTGCCTTCTGGTTCTGGGTGGGGGGGCGAGTAAATGTCTGTGTCTTTTCTGTGGGAGAAAATCAGTGGTGATTTGGGACATTGTGAACTTGGAATTCTGAAAGTAGAATTCTGATTTAACAGTGTAACAGAATTCGTGAATGTCATGGTGCTAATTTGAACAAATAGCAGCCCTGTCAGAGGAATATGCTTTTCCTTAAATCTAGGGAACACCAGGAGGACCTTTCTAGATGGACTTCCCTGGAAACCTCTGAGGAAAGTGAAAGGGAAGATGCCATTTCTCCTGGGAAGGGGGATGCTGATGTAGAGGATGACAAGTAATATGCCATGAAGTATTCAGTCACCTGGATAGATTTAGGGTTAGTATAGTTAAGGAAGAAAGGAGGGAAAAGAAAGAAGATGAAGAAAGGAAGCCAGAAAAGATAAAATTTATTTTAAGATAAAATTTCTGCATTGTACTGAACTAATTATTTTTCTGGCTGTCATTAGCCAAGATGAGGAATCCTCAAGTTGCCTAAGACCGGATTTAGAATTGTCTGGGGGCTTCCAAAAAAGGCATTCAGTAAATTAGAAGGAATACAGGCCTATAGCATCAGGGTCTGAGCTGGAGGTATAGATTTGTGTGAATTTTGATAGGCATGGTGGCCTGGCCTATAATCCCAGCACTTTGTGAGGCTGAGGTGGAGAATTGCTTGAACTCAGGTGTTTGAGACCAGCTGGGGACCATGAGAAGACACCACCTCTACAAAACATAAAAAAATATTAACCCAAGGTGGTGGCACGCACCTTGGTGCCAGTTACTGGGGAGGCTGAGGCGAGAGGACTGTTGAAGTCCAGGAGGTCGAGACTGCAGTGAGCCTTGTTTGTGGCACTACACTCAGGCCTGGGCCACAGAATGAGACTCTGTCTAAGTATGAGAAAGAAAAGATTTATGTGAATTTGGTGCTCCTTTGTATTTCAAAATAGGAAAGTAGATATGTGAGTGAATGGAATAAAGAGGTTGAGATGCTAGACCCCAGTGAACTCAATTGATCTGAAGGTCTGACTTTAACCTTTCTAGGCTGGACAATCTGGAATGACTCAAATGTTTCTAGTGCAGCTGAAACTTTGCCTCCATTAGAGTGAGCCTATAGAGGACTTGAATGTACTCAGAGTGGATCTGAGAGGTATCTGCTTCCAAAATAAATTAGAATACCTGGATTTGAGTCATAATCAGATGGCTGTTAAGGGGTTACATGAAGAGATATGATTCTTAAGTTCACTGTATTGAATTCCGCTGAATATTATAAATATTTGTAAGTTGGATTATATTATGGAAGTACTTGGTAAAAATAGCCATGCAGAGAAATATGTAGATATGGGACTTCAGAGTCTGATTGTTAAAAAATAAGTGGAGCAGCATTGGGGAACCCCTGTTCATATTTTAGATGTCTATTCTCTCATTAGAGTGTAACTGCTATCCTCTGAACCTTATTTTTGGAAAAATGTATTTACAAATCTGAAAAACATTGATGAATATATCCCAAGAACCAAGCTTCTGGTTCCAAGACCCCATTCAGAGGACTAAGCTTCAGTCTAATAAGATTGTGTAGGCTTGGAGCCAATGGGGTCCAATAGGAAGTCCAATCAACCAAGGCCTCAGACTCATGAAAAACCTCAAATTTAGATGTTAAATTTTTCCTCCAAATGAGATTGTAACCTACAGCCACAGAGCTTCATGGATGGGAATGAAAACATGAAAACGATCATGTCTCAATTTTTAAACTGTGCTCAATTAGAGGATCCCTTGCCTATGGTATAGTGTCATCTAATAATTTTTTTTTTTTTTTTCCCTCTGTCGCCCAGGCTGGAGTGCAATGTTCAAGCGATTCTTCTGCCTCAGGCTCCCAAGTAGCTGGGATTATAGGTGCCCACCACAACGCCCAGCTAATTTTTGTATTTTTAGTAGAGATCGGGTTTCACCATGTTGGCTAGGGTGGTCTCAAACTCCTGACTTCAGGTGATCTTCCCGCCCCAACCTCCCAAAGTGTTGGGATTACAGGCGTGAGCCACCGCGCCGGACCTCCGCTTACTGTAAACTGATTTGTACCGACCAGGAAGCCAGAAGAGTATAGAACACAAACGATGGTGGCTTCTAAATCCCAGATACTCCGTGTCACCTCGCGTGAGACATTCCATCAAGATGGAACAGCTGTCTCCCTGAGGCTTTTGGCAGCTTCCGGCTTTTGCAGAGGAAAGGGTAGGGGTGTGAGGGCGGGGGAGGTGTCCGAGATGCTTTCAGCCCTGAGCTCAGTAGACTGGCTGTGTTGGATGCTCGCTTTCTGTCCTTACCATTTCCAGTTCCCCAGGACGGCCAAGAACATTCACTGCGACCTGCTTTCCACTCCTTGTGTGCTTCTTCGCTAGGACTACTCGAAAAACGATTACTTTCCCAGAGCACAGGACACCTGGAGGGGGGACCCAGAGTCACCCACTCTGAATCCGGCTTCTGGAAGGAGCCACAAATGCCTGTAGGGGAGGCCAACCCTCCAGAGGAGCCCGGGGAATGCGACAACTCCCGCAACTTTCCTCCACCCGGGCTCCCTGCTTCTGGGACCCACCACTGAAGTGGGAGACGTATATGGGAGGAGACTTTCCAGAGCGTCAGTCTATGGCTGTTCCCGGGGCCACTGTCCAAAGTTCCAGAGCTTTTCTGCAGCGGTTTCCAAGTGTTTGGGACCGCATGCCCTAAGGCTGCCTCTGCTGCCTGCCGTTTTATTATAGCACTGCGTCCTGAGGTTTCCTGAGACCCTCCATTGGCTAATTTTCTGAGAACTGTCAGAAACCAACACTAACTAACACTGTCAGAAACATTTAAACCAGAGCTACTCCATGTTGAATAGGGGCCGGTAAAATAAATCTGAGACCGCTGGGCGCAATGGCTCACGCCTGTAATCCCAGCACTTTGGGAGGCTGAGACGGGCGGATCACCTGAGGTCGGGAGTTCCAGGTTAGCCTGACCAACATAGTAAAACCCCATCCCTTCTAAAAATAAAAAATTAGTCGGGCGTGGTGGCGCATGCCTATAATCCCAGCTACTCGGGAGGCTGAAGCAGGAGAATCGCTTGAACCGGGGAGGCAGAGGTTGCGCCATTGCACTCTAACCTGGGCAACAAAAAGCCAGACTCTGTCTCTAAATAAATAAACAAACAAACAAATAAATAAATAAACAAAATGATATAAAAATACGGCTGAAGCAGCAGCTTCTCCGCTCCTTCTGGAAACTCTCCCTGGTTCAGCCCGCCTGCCTCCACTCCTGCCTCCACCATGTCCATCAGGGTGACCCAGAAGTCCTACAGGGTGTCCACCTCTGGCCCCGGGGCCTTCAGCAGCCGCTCCTTCACGAGTGGGCCCAGTGCCCGCTCGAGCTCCTCGAGCTTCTCCCGAGTGAGCAGCGCTGGCTTCCGCGGTGGCCTGGGGGCAGGCTATGCGGGGGCCAACGGCATAGGCACGGGAGGCATCACCTCCGTCACCATCAACCAGAGCCTGCTGAACCCCATTAAGCTGGACGTGGACCCCAACATCCAGGCCGTGGGTACCCAGGAGAAGGAGCAGATCAAGACCCTCAACAACAAGTTTTCTTCCTTCATCGACAAGGTGCGGTTCCTGGAGCAGCAGAACAAGATGCTGGAGACCAAGTGGAGCCTCCTGCAGCAGCAGAAAACGGCTCGGAGCAACATGGACAACATGTTTGAGAGCTACATCAACAACCTGAGGCGGCAGCTGGAAACTCTGGGCCAGGAGAAGCTGAAACTGGAGGCAGAGCTTGGCAACATGCAGGGGCTGGTGCAGGACTTCAAGAGCAAGTATGAGGAAGAGATCAATAAGCGTACAGAGATGGAGAATGAATTGTCCTCATCAAGAAGGATGTGGATGAAGCTTACATGAACAAAGTAGAGCTGGAGTCTCGCCTGGAAGAACTGACTGACGAGATCAACTTCCTCAGGCAGCTGTATGAAGAAGAGATCCGGGAGCTGCAGTCCCAGATCTCCGACACATCCGTGGTGCTGTCCATGGACAACAGCCGCTCCCTGGACATGGACAGCATCATCGCTGAGGTCAAGGTGCAGTACGAGGAGATCGCCAATCGCAGCCGGGCTGAGGCGGAGAGTGTATACCAGATCAAGTATAAGGAGCTGCAGAAGCTGGCTGGGAAGCACGGGGATGACCTGTGGCGTACGAAGACTGAGATCTCCGAGATGAACCGGAACATCAGCTGGCTCCAGGCTGAGATTGAGGGCCTCAAAGGCCAGAGGGCTTCCCTGGAGGCCGCCATGTTAGATGCTGAGCATCGAGGGGGGCAAGCACTCAAGGATGCTCGTGCCAAGCAGCAGCAGCAGCTGGAGGAATCCCTGTGGAAGGCCAAGCAGGACATTGCACGGCAGCTGCGTGACTACCAGGAGCTGATGAACGTCAAACTGGCCCTGGACATTGAGATCGCCACCTACCGCAAGCTACTGGAGGGCGAGGAGAGCCGGCTGGAGTCTGGGATGCAGAACAAGAGTATCCACACGAAGACCACCAGCGGCTATGCAGGTGGCCTGAGCTCTGCCTATGCGGGCCTCATAAGCCCCGGCCTCAGCTACGGCCTGGGGTCCAGCTTTGGCTCTGGCGCAGGCTTCACCTTCAGCCGCACCAGCTCCACCAAGGCTGTGGTTGTGAAGAAGATTGAGACTCGTGATGGGAGGCTGGTGTCCGAGTCTTCTGATGTCCTGCCCAAGTGAACAGCTGCAACAGCCCCTCCCAGCCTGCCCCTCCTGAGGCTGCCCCAGAGCCCAGGAGGGAGGTTACTGTGCAGGGGAGCACAGGGAACCAGAGACCCACCCGACGCTCAGCCCTAGCCCTCAGGCCACCCGCGGGGAGTTTACTGCCTGGGGACCCCCCTTACCCATGCCTCTAGCTGCAAAACAATTCAATTTGCTTTTTTTTTTTTTTTTTTTGGTCCAAAATAAAATCTCAGCTAGCTCGGAAAAT